AATATATAGTACCCGATTCTTGATAATTATAGTATTGATTCCCTATTTAGCATCCTTATATTAAAATTAAGCCCGTACCACGTTAACTATTGGAGCTAAACCGTGCTACGTTATCTGCTCTCCCTATTTACAATAGTAACAACAGTACACTAATACTATCTTTATGCGCTGACTCTGCGTCTTTATCATCATTTTTCTTTCTCGTTCATACATTAGCGAATATAATATAAAATATTTGACCAATGAGTTCCAATTCAGGCGATGAGCTTAGATATGAAAAATGTATCGTCTGCAAAGAGCCAAAAACTGACGACAATTGGTGTAGGAATTGTAATGCTAAACATTTTAAAAAAAATTTCAACAAATGTACAAGTGGCAACATTGTCATTGATAAATTTATTCAACAAATTCAACTTAACGCAACTAATCCGAACCAAGTATTAGAATTTGTTCCATTTGAAAATATCTTAGACATTGAATATCTTGCTGATGGCGGTTATGGGAGTGTATATAAAGCTAAATGGACTCGCGGCCCTATTGAATATTATGACAATGATGTTCAAGAATGGCACAGATCGGGAGAAACGAATATCGTTCTTAAAAGCATAAAAAGTTCAAGTAATAATAATATTCCCGATGAATTTTTTGAAGAGGTATCTAATTTAATGCGTTAAATTATGATTCAATTTTTTTTTAAAAAAGTAATTAATACCTTTTGCTTTTTCTTTTTTATGATGACCTCATTTGTGGATTTTGGTTTTACTATTAGGTGTTTTGGAGTAGCAAAATGTCCTGCTACTGGTGATTACATAATGATTATGGAATACAAAAAAGATGGTGATCTCCATGAATATTTGCATAAAAATCTTAATATAAGATGGCGACAAAAATTAGACATTTTATACACTGCAGTCAAAGGACTTTCGAAAATTCACGAAGCAAAATTAATACATAAAGATTTACACGCTGGAAATATTATTATTGCTGATAATGTTTCTTACATATCTGATTTTGGTTTGGCAAAAATGTTAGCTCCGAAGGCAAAAGCAAAGATATTAGTTCCGAAGATGAAAACAAAAGCATTAGCTCCGAAGACAAAAAAGAAATTTATGGTGTATTGCCATACGTTGCTCCTGAAGTATTACGTACAAAAACATACACACAAGCTGCAGACATTTATTCATTTGGAATTATCGTCAATCAGGTTGCAGTAGGTTATCGACCGTTTGATGGTATTCAATACGATTCTGTGCTCGCACATCTGATTATGAATGAAAATTATCGCCCAGATACTAATGAAGATATCACCCCACAAATTATTACTGATTTGATCAAAAGTTGCTGGTGCGACAATCCAGATGATCGACCGACCGCCATTGAACTGGTTGATAAGTTTTTTTTAGTTTTAGGCAAAAAGGTCATAAAATATGGACTCAAATTAGTCCTATTGACAAAAAGTTGGACTCATACATTCCTCCAATAGACAAACCACTTGAAAAGACTTTATATACTAGCAAATTGATTAATATTCAAGAAGAATCAAATAAATATATAGGTATATATATATTTATTATTTTAAATAATCAAAAATACTAATATTTATTTATATTTTAGTTAGCAAACGCATTAGCACGCAATCAATACCATTAGATATTTAATAATATACCCGATGAATTTTTTGAAGAGGTATCTAATTTAATGTTTTAAATTATGAATCAAATTTTTTTGTAAGTAATTAATACTTAACGCCTTTTCTTTTTTCAGATTAAAGCTCAAATGACCTCGTTTGTGGATTTTAGCTATGCCATTAGGATTAAACTCAATTATCTCAAAATAAAGGGATCGCCTATTTCCACTGTAATGATTAATTTTTCCTGTGTCTCCTCACTTCCGTATTTGTATAATTCTTTAAGTTGTCACTTACCTTTCATAATTGTACCACCATTGCCATGTTAATCTTACTTTAGTAGTATTAGACATTATAATGTATTTGTAGGAGGCTTAATTCATGCAACCGCGAATACGCGGTTGTAGCGAATACGCTATGGTTACCGCGAGTACGTTGTGGTCATTATGGTCACGCTCAAAAAGTTATCATTTATATAAGTGCTTGTCTTCATCCTTAGTTGAGGGTAACATTCGCTCTCCTAAATTCCTCTGTAAATAAAGATCACATATATTCACATTCTTTTTATAATAAATGCCTAATAAACCATGAATACCCGAATACCATAATTTATTGTCCAACTCATGTGAACCCTTAACGTCAACCATCGGAGTCAAACTCGGCATGACAGTACCAAGCTCTCTCTTACGATGGTTACACCACCATGGAAATTTACTATTTCCACATTTTCACATGACTTTTAGCTATATATACATGACGAACATTGTTACAATAAATTACGGCCAATGATGGAAATAGCAAATTTCCATGGTGGAAATAGGCGTTCCCAAAATAAAATATATGTAAAAAAGGGCTGTTTTAATATGTAACACCCCATATATCCCACATGATAGTACCAAAAAAGAGTGATTATAAACAGTCACAGCAATTCAGCCGGCCTACTGAAATCACATCAGTTCATGAGACAAACAATGGAGTTGAAGGTCAGATCAATAGTAGTCTGCACAATGGAGTTTTGGGTCTTCAAATTAAAGGCAATTATGATGTAAAGAATACTAATATGAATGGAACATGGAGCGCGAAGATAGTAATAAAGATGGGGTATGCTGGATATATAGACCTATTAAAAATGCTTATGGAAGAGACTTTGTTCCGGGTGATTATTCTGGTCAATGGTATATTTTAAATACGATGCGTGGGTTTAGAATAACCATTGCACAAATATTGCGTTGCGAATTCCGTGGCCGTGGCTTGTGTAAAACAAACAAAAAAGTAAACCTGATAAAACTATGCCCAAAATGGTTCACACATTGGAAATATCTTTTGATACGTAGCATTGATAATTTTATGAAAATTTGCAAAACTTAAAAGAGATTATTTCAAACATGAAATCTTATTGCTACACTAAATGTTAGTAACTTGCATAACATTGAAAACACCCAAAAATGTTCTGATACTTTTATAATAGACCGTAAATTTTTACAACTGAACGAATAGTTCCACATTTTATATAATATTATTATATTCGTATTTCTAATTTACAACTCTCTAGTCTTCTAATCGTAAATATATATTTACAATTTATCAAATCAATAATTATTATAGATTAATATGAATGAAGTAATATTTTTTAATGTAAATAAAATAATGTGAACAAAACAAATATTCAAATTATGTATAGTAAATAAAATAGGTATTAATGAGAATCCTGTCACAAGTCGATCATTATTGTGGCTTTATGGATCTCGTGCATTTTGCTTTGGCCTTTTTGCAATAAATTCCGGGATTTCTTGTTAAATGCAGTCATTGTTGTGATTGCATACAATTGTTAGTGTTGTTCATTGTTGTGAGTGCAGTCGAGGCCAATACTATTGACTGACTAAGTCGATGTTATAAAATCGGCTTAGCCGGTTTAGTCTACTAAATAATAAAATATAAATATCAATCTAAGAATGATCTTTACCATTTTAAGATCCAAAATCTCACTTAAGTCGATTCTGAATTCGAATCTATTGCAATATATATCTTTGATTAAGAGTTTTATAACGTAAATGTGAATGATAAATAAATTTAAATTTAAATTAATTCTCTGTTTTTATTAAGAGTCGATCAAGCACATTATTCAAAAAATCGACGGAATTTGTCGGTTAAGTCGACTAATCCTAAATCGACTTATCCTACTAATAATATAAACCAGGGTACAAAATTATTCTATAGTAGAATTTAATGTATCTCAAATATCATTTCATTTTTAGCTATGTCTATGCCTCTGATAATAGAACTCCAAAATTAAATTGTCTGCTCGAATTATTACCTTCAACAGATTTCGAATACCACTTAAATGCCTTTTCTTCATCCTTGGCTGTTCCTATGCCTCTGTTAAAGCAGAATCCTACTTTAAGCTGTGCATAGAAATTACAACTTTCGGCTGATTTCAAATACCATTTAAATGCCTTAATTTTATCTTTGTCTGTGCCCATACCTCGGTCATAGCATAGTCCAACTCTAAATTGCCCATTGGAATCACCACCTTTAGCGGATTTTAAATACCACTTAAATGCCTCCTTTTCATTTTCGGTTGTGCCTATGCCTTTATCATAGCACATTGCAACATTAAGCTGTCCTTTTAAATTGCCACCTTGAGCAGATTTCAAATACCACTTAAATGCCTTTTTTTTACTTTCTGTTGTACCAGTGCCGTTTTGATAACACACTGCAAGTTTATATTGTGCAATAGAATTATTCCCTCTAGCAGATTTTAAATACCACTCAAATGCTTTTTTTTCATCCTTGACAACGCCTGTGCCTTCTTCATGGCAGATTCCTACTTTAAGTCGTCCTATTGAATTGCAACTGTTAGCAGATTTCAGATACCACTCATATGCCTTATTTTCATCCTTGGCTGTGCCTGTGCCAATCTGATAGCACATTGCAATTTTATTTTGTATTATAGAATTACCATTTGTAACAGATTTCAAATACCATTCAAATGCTTTTTTTTCATCCTTGTCAGTGCCTACACCTTTTTCATACCATAATCCAACTTGATATTGTCCTTCCAAATTACCTCCTTTAGCAGATTTTAAAAAATGCTCAAACGCCTTTTTATCATTCTTTGCTGTACCTATGCCATATTTATAATACAATGCAAGAAAATATTGTGCGGTAGAATCACCACCTTCTGCAGATTTTAAACTCCATTTGAAAGCCTTGTTTTCATCCTTAATTACGCCTATTCCATATCTATAGAAAATTGCAACTTTAGTTTGTCCACTCGAATTGCCACCTTCAGCAGATTTCAAATACCACTCAAACGACTTTTTTTCATCTTGTGCTGTGCCTATACCGTTTCGATAGCAGAATCCAACATTGAATTGTCCAATAGGATTGCCGCCTTCGGCAGATTTCAGATACCATTCAAATGCCTTTTTTTCATCTTTTACAGTGCTTATAACTTTCCAATAACTGACTTCAAGATTAGATTGTCTATTCGAATTGTCACCTTCAGCAAGCTTCAAACACAATAAAGATTCGGTCTCTTTTGTCCAAGACATTTGAAAAAAAAATACAGTATGCTGAACAGTTATTATACTTTATGAAGATTCGTAATTTGTTATATATTATAAATATTCTGCCAGAAGTTGAACTTTATTTAAAATTAGATCTTGCATGGGTTAGGCAGTAATTTTAAGCAAGATGACTAATTCCGATAATATTAAAAATAAATGCGGAATAGCAGGTGACATGAGTGTTTGTATAGGAGTAGCCTTTTATATATTTATAAAAACATTGGTGATCCAATGTTCCACCAATAATTTAGCACATGCGCAGCCTGTGCAGATTACAAATTGTACAAAGTTGTAAACATAAAATATAGAATTATGTAGATACTTTCGCAGGCTGCGTGGTAGAATCAAAATAAATGATTTGTTCATCCTACTTATGTAATCCTTAGTTTTGTAAGTATACACTCAGCGCTCGAAAAGATAAATCGGATCGGATTCGAATTTTGATCCGTCCCAACCGTCGGATCAGTTTTGGCCCAGAAAATTCGGATTGGGCTGGATTCTAATTTTAAAATTAGTGCACCTAAAAATGACCAACATTACCGACCCTTTTTCATGTTTATCATCGTAGATTTTGATTTAACATTACCTGTTACCATTACACAATTTCACGTACCCAGCAAAGTAAAAATTTTGAAAAATTTAATCGGAGATATCCAAACAACTGTCTCACTAAAATTGATTAAAAAAAATTTTTTTTTTTTTTTTTTCTAAGAATTCATAGAATTCAAATAAAACTTTTTTTATCGATTTTGGTCAGGTGGTTGTGGAGATATCTTCGCTCAAAGTTAGAGAAAAATCTAAACGCTTAACAATAGCTGCCAAAAATTGTCACGGCAGATTCTCGATTTTGATTGGCTAAGAGCGAAGATCAAAAAATTAGGCCGGAATTATCGGATTCCTAGATTGTCTGTTATAAACGCAAGGTGTACGCATTTCAAATTTTACATTATATGATATAAACATTCAGCTGTGTACTATACCCGGGCCTATTAAAGGGGTTTAAAACGAGTGAAATGTAACAGAACTGGGTCTGGTATCCAGCCATTTACGGTACTAATAATTTTATTAATAATGAAATCGCAGCCGCCCATTAAGTGAAAATTGTTACTGGGCCAATTTTACCATAAGGCGGCTTATTTTTTAAACTTTCTATTTTTGTAATGAAAAAATTAAAAGTTAATCCGACCGGAAATTAGCAAACAATTATGTAATGCGGGCCAAAATTTTGTAGATTCTCGGCCGTTAGCCAATTAGGTAAAATCGAGGATCTGCCGTGACAATTTTGTT